TAACTGAAGTACAAATAACAGTAAGTATTAAATAATTTATACACCCAATGAGGGAAGCCGAGTGATGTTAATTATGTTTTACTTATCTTGGGAAACTGAACTTCATGTATTCAATATTTCACAACAAAAGTACTAATAATCACACAGTGCTAGCAAAAAAGTTACAACTAAGAAATTGTTCACTAGAGTTTGCGATAAACTTAAACAGTCTTCTTTCGTATGCTTGACTTAATATCATCAAAACCAATGATCACACTATTCATGTAATGTAGATGAATGTTTTACAGAAAATGATCAAGGTTTTTCAAGAGTTGATCCTCAGTGAGATTTTATTCACAATCAGTTGTTATGGTTCAGTCAATATTCTTTTGAGTGTGTAGCTACATGTAAACCCATCAATCCTTGTTCAGGATGGTTGTAAACAACCATTTAAAGCCTGAAATTTCACTCGTACCTCTGTCTGTTTGTCTAGTTCTGATTCATAACATTGATGTTTTCCTAGAGTATAACATAAATGCTGATAAGCGTTCAATTATTCACGGGATTTTTGATTGGCCCACTATATCAAACACACTGTCGAAAATGATGGTTGCTATAAACTTTTCTGTTTGCAATCATTGGTCCGCTGATCATAGTCTCAGTAAAAAATAAGCATGAAAGTGAAATGTGTTTTGTACTATACGGTGCCTGAAATTATTTTGTCAAATTCTCAAAATCCAAAATAAGCAATTTACTTTGTTATAGAAAGAATATATGAAATCGATTTCAGTAATTTTAGTGAATACAAATGAAACGAATCAATTTACAATGAATTGTCACAATGACGTTGTAACGGAGATCTAGAGGTAATATTAACACGGTCGATGATTCGTGATAACTAAGAATAGTCTAGGTAAATGAAGTTACGTCTACCGGCGATTTCTCCGATAGCAAATTGTAGATTCCTTTATACAAATAATAATACAAGTTTAAACTTTCAAACATAAACTAACGAGCTTAAAATTGTAACTATACTAGTAGGAAAGTTAATAATGTGTATTTAAAATTTTTAATATGGAAAATTCTTAAAAAGCGAAAGAATTTATCTTTTTCATATTATCATAAAAGTTGGAAAGTGACAGTCCATTACATTTGAATTTGATTAGCGCATATGAAACTTTTTTGGTCGAATTATGGTAGATACTTTCTAGTGGAGCCCTTTATTTTGTCGTCATTTAATCGGGCTCACCACTTTAGTGGCCCGGGATCTGACTCCAAAGTGATCGTATAAATGATTGTTATTGAAATATGTCGCCCATCCTCGTATATAAACATCGACTTAAATCGCGTTAGTCAATAACAAAATTAAATAATTCAACTACGAGAATGAATTTTGAATACGTATATTTCTACAATCTTTAATCCAGACAAAATATCGGAGAAGCGAAGAGAAAAAAGCGAAGCAAAACGACGCGCAGTGGAGATGGCGGGTAAGCCAACTTCATTTAGTCAAGCGTTAATCAATATTTATAGTAACACAAAAATAAGTTACAGGCATGTGATGAATAGGGTAGGAAATGTACACACATATGCGCTCATATAAAAACAATCAAGATTGATGAGTGAATAATTAACAAGGTCAAGATATGGCTCAAGTAGAATGAATAAATTGGCCTGTCCTAAAGCTAGAATAAGTTATGTGGGCTTAACATAATAACCGACACTACAACTTAATCTCTATTTATTACAAGGAGTCAACTACGGAAACAGTCAACATCTCTTCCAAATTTCTAAAGTCTTGGAAATATAACATATTAGTTTTTCCAAGTTGAGGTTACAAACGCTTTATTTACTACACATTAGGATGTATTGATATTATTTACTTAAAAACACTCTATCTATGGTCATACCCTCAACATTCATTGTTAGAGATAACGTTGAAAGTACTGAGAATATAAACTCTATAGCTGGTTCATTTTACGTTTTTAGTTGAAATCGGTGAATAGACGTCTGATATTCCTGAAATGGGTACTTGAGTGGCCTCACACAGGTTAGTTCTTGATTAAGCTGATGCAATCTAAACATATGTTGGATTCTATTCATTCATTAGAAAAAAATTAGGAAATATTTAGGGTGTCCTCTGACAAGAAAATGGAGTTTAGAAAGTAAAAATTTCGATAAACTGAAACGTGAGAATCTTAAAGACAGAAATAAATAGTCCTTATGTCACAATACTGCTAAGTAATGTGAGCGATGAATGGGTTTAAACGATTAATCATTGGTAATATTTCAAAACAATCAAAATTGTAAAACTTATATTGAACTTTACTGAACAGTAAGTTACATAGAACTACTCGAACAATACGGAATAAAGAATGCTTATGAGTTTTTCGACAGTATGTAAAATGTATATTTCATTTCAGTTTGAGTCATGTAGAAAATGTCTTTTTTTAACAAGGTAACATTTCGTGACTGAATTTTATGTTGTAAAATGGTTGACGATAACAAACAGTCTAGTGTGAAACGACATCATCAGGGCTATAATCGTAGATTGCAATTCAACAGTCTACCAGTGGAATCCATGCTATTTGAGTGACCTAAAGGTTTATAAATTATATCAATGACGATGTTGTCTCTGGATAAAAAAAACAAGCCACTTATATTCCGACAATTAGAAAATTAAAAGTTTAACTCAGAGATGATTGATACGAAGTAATTCAGAAATTAAATGTCATTGAAGCAACTTTTGTACAGCTAGATTTGTTGTAATTATAATGTGAATACATGTCATAATTCAAACAAACACAATAATGAGAACTTCAATATAAATAGGAATATGTTAGGTAAACTTAACAAAAAACAAAATGTAGCTTGCTTTGTGAGCTGAAACAACTGCCTCTGATTACTTAGTAATTGATTAAATCAATTAGACTTGACACCTATCTTAAAGCTAATCACCAATTATAGTTCGATTATGATTTAATCTAGTGTTTGTAGAGATGATGGTGAAAAACTAGTTTCAGCACTTTTTATTTAGTGATATTTATTGGTGGTCGTGATTTTTCAACAGTTAACTAATGAAAGAACATTTCAACCAATCGATTATGGCTGAGTAGCTTAAATAGATTATGCAAAATGGGAGAACTAAATATACTATTTTGCTTCCTGTTTATTGTTGTTTATTTGAACAACTGATAAGTTCCTGATTAACAGCCGACGATGTAAATTACTATTCAAATAAAAAATATCAAGACATAAACAGTCCATCTACACTTACCTCATATACAATATCTACTAAATAGAGGTAGACACAGAAGCTTTGTCCATTTTTTATGAAAATAATCATTTAAGTTTTAACAAAATTTCATGTGAATGACATTGAAATGTGAGATTATATGTGCAAATCTACCAGGGTATCTTTTCATAGATGTTTCTGTGACCTAAGAAAATTGTTTTTGTGAATAGGTCTTAGAATTGTAGATATCGAATCAAAGTATCATTATTTGCTGTTGAACCCTTTCCGATAGACACTAGTCACATCACTTCCATATATATTACTTCGAAGTTAGTTAGATATTAATGACACAAACTAACTCGATCGATGTGTTGAAATGACCAATAGACTGGCACTATTTGTGATGATTGTGGCTTCAACTTTACACTCTTGATTTAATCTATAGTGGATACTTTGGAGTGTGATTATTGAGAATATTGATGTACTTTTAGTGGACTACAACTATAGTCAATATTCATAAACTAGTCGCCTTACGAAAGTATTTGATAAAATCCAACCTGTCCAACAAAGATGTTGGATACTGAGACGAAAGTTCAAGAAATTGTGACTCATTGACTTTTGATGACTTTGATGTTGCTCAGATTAAACTGACTTGAAAAACCATAGATCATATTTCCCTTTAGTTTCACAAGTTAATAATTCGCTTATTCGTGATTGACACTGATTTTACAATCGTTTTGACATATATTGCTTCATTATTCAGATTAAAAGCGTGAATCGACCGAAACTGACATAAGATATTTAATAAATTGCGCCTTATGGTTGACTTTGATCTGACAGCACTTTTCATCTACGAATTACCGTGTATATTAGAAATGACCGTTTCATTCAGTCACTTATCATGATTTTATTATAATTTCAATTGGAATTGTATGAATGTGATTCTATTGATTGAACTGAGCATTAACACTAATTCATACCATTGTAGTGTGGCGTCGTGTCGCGTTGACTATGATCACCACTACAAGAAAACTACGTGCCAGTTAACCGATAAGATCCCTCGTAGGCCAAATATCAGAAGGCAGTTGATGGCTGTAGTCGAGATGTATTTGCAAGTGGGGTCACAGTCACAGTCAACGGAAAGAAAGTCTTCGATACAGTTAAACAAACAAGTACAACAAAACAATCACCGGTATAATTGATTATAATAGTAATTGTTTCCATTACACCGTTCGCGTTCTGTTGATAAAAGTAGGTCACTACACCATAATGAAAAAATGTGAAACATGATAACTGCGTGGAATGAGAAAAATGAAACTAACCACATTATCAGTGGGTTGCTATATTACCTAATTCGTCGCACCATCGACTGAAATCTGTCAGTCATATTTAAAACGTTGTGATTAGTTTAAGTGATTTTGTACCATAGTACTCCAGGATTATTACTTCATAATCAAAGGGAATAGATTACTATATCAGTCGGTCCTTACTGTTGATGTTACCAAACTACTGTTCGAATGAGACTAGTGATAGTGTCAAGATGGGAAAGTCAAAATTTGCGTAGCAAATGTATTATAAAAAATAGAGATGTAAACGTTGTAGTAGTAGATGTTTTATACGAATACTTGACTCTTCCTATCAGAAGAGTTTTGTAGTGAATAGTGGTAATTTCATGATTTTAGGTGTACTACTTATATTTGTTTCAGTAAACAGATATAATAAAATATTTATATTTTGCAAGAACTATGAGTATATCAATTTGACAAAAAGCGGTAATATATTTTACAACCATATTTGTCTTGAAATCGCGTAGAGATAGATTTCTTATCACAAACAAAATAAACTAATCTATTGGGAAACTTTCTAGAAAAAAATGTTTTGGTAAATCAAACTTCTACAAGCATGTTTTATGAATTGCTGATAAGCACCAATCCCGAATGAATCATGTATGCAATATTCACTGGTTTTCAGGTGATTCAAGAGCCAGTTAGGCAAAAATATTTTGTGTGATGATGCCCAAGCATCCCCAAATATGACTTCCTTGTCTGGAAAATTTGTGATATTTTCTTACTGCTGAAAGTGTCTTATTCAAATCAATTTATCTGAATTCAGTGTATGGTCTTTGAATACGTATTTTAATAGATCTGCTTAATTTTTGTTCATTCAAAGAACAAGGTCAAAACAAAATGGAGCGACGGCATTGAGTTTATCAAGTAGATATGTGAACTGATAGATAACGTATATGTTATCATTAACCAAGTGAAAATTGGTCACATTAAGTTCCTGAGATGTTTGAAATCAATGTAAATGATTATTAGATAACCAAAAAGTGAATTTTAGATTATGGTTGAGCTGAATTATGTGACATACTTGATCCCAAGGAGGACTGTGTGTCGAAGTACTTGATGTCATTCAGTGAGTAATCGAGGGTCAGTCAGTGGTCTTGAGTACTGTTAGAGGTATGAGGACGGTTATCAATTCCCGGTTGCCCACACCGTGGAAGGGTTCTTCTGGAGGTACCTGAAAAAGAGATTGGGTTAGAGGTGATCAGAGTGACCTGAGAAAGTGACCGCAGTGCCCAAGGGACAGATACTTGGGGTCGGTCACACACGACCTTTTTATCAGTAGTTTTTGTGTTAGCTCCGTACTTGTTGAGACCTTACCGCCGGAAACGGATATCCGTGGAATAAGGCGAGGTGTGCATTTTTAGGTTTGACCTTTTCTAGCCCCACCCCTCCTTCTGGGAAGGCAGCATCGCTGTTATGCTGGTTGTCTGAAGGAAAATCTCACTCTAGATCTAAAACTTAAGTTTCTCAAGCTTGTAAACAGGAAGATGAGAAACCATTGTATTATGTCAGTTTGTGTTGCAAGACCTAATCTTGACTTGTTAACTCAAGGTAGGCTTTTACTGAATTATCGGGCGTTAATGTCTGATTTTTGGTACATTTCCATATTCTGAATATTCCATCGATATATATATATATATATATATATATATATATATATATATATATATATAACACCTGTTATGATAATTGATTATAATTTCAATGGTTATGATCATTATTCAGTTGAAGCTAGACCACCGTGGAAAACCTGGGAGCACTGGACGGTCTTTTTGTCCTACTATGGGACTCCTCAGCAGTGCGCATCCACGACCTCGCTTTCTGCGAGATTCGAACCCAGGACCTACTGGTTTCGCGCACACACAGTTAACCTGTAGACCACTGAGCCGGCATCCAACGGTGTTAATGTCTAATTTCAACTAATCCAGGAAATTGAGCGACACATCCACTATTGTCTTCAGTGAGTTACTATCTCACAACAGACTCGGTTGAACTCCACTGGTCACTACTTCTCATTAGAACTCCAGGATATACCTCTTGAAGCCAGTCACTAGTGAGCATATGTTGATTATTATCAGAAGGGGTTTTGTGGAGATTGTAGTAATTTCAATGGTTAAATTAACCTAAGACTTGCCTAACCAGTACGTGTTGTTGGTCCACGGAGTTATTCATTTAAGATATACAGAGAGTGTTATGATGGCTGTCAGAAAGACAGAACACACTAAAATGCCTTCAGTAACTCTAAAGGAGCTGATGAGACTCTACACAAGCTGAATTCGGTAGAAAAGTTTAGAATATCTAGGTGGTATTTGATGATTGGACGGTTGCATTAACTTCATTATCGCAGATTAGTTGGATTATAATTATGTTATAGCCTATACTAAGAACTATAAATTCACCTATTTTTATGTGAAGTTCGTACACTTACTCAATAAACTCTTCTTTTACCTTCTTCCATCTATTTGACTTGCGACTGCGGCTTCAAGACGTTCATGTTCAGAAGCCATAAACCGTATTAGCCGTAATCAAGTAGAGGACGAAGCAGGTAGAAATAGACGTCCTGACTGAAGTAAATGTAACAAAATTTATCAGTGGTTGAATACTCAAAATCGATAGTAATTGTGTCGATGTATCCATTCTTAATGGTTCTCTAAATATTAGGTTCCCCTAGAAAGTCGAACTTTCTATTTTATTAAACCACTCACAATTAGCAAACCCTATTCGATATTTATATAACTATCATTTTGTTCTCTCTCTTATACAATTCGTGTTTAATTCATTTTAAGGCACTGATGTAATATAAAAGCTTAGAGCATTCGACATTTGTATCAAGTTCTACATTGATTATGACCTGTGAACTGATAGAGCAAACTTTATTTCTTTTGTCGTTATGTTTCTATTGAGATATAGACATCCATCTCTCTGGATATATTTTAGAAGGTACACTACACGTTTTAGTAAATTGAAGGCAATTGAAAGAAACGTCAAGTATCATTCAATTTATATTATTAATCACCTTTTTATGTTTCATGAAAATACCAAGAAAATGAAAATTTTATTGTAATTTTAATGACTATGATTAAATTCAACATTCAATCCCCCTTTAATTCCTTCGTTATTAAGTGAAATGAAATCTTTACCACCAGAGATAATGTATTGAATAAAATTTTCTGAATGTTAATATCATCTGCATAAAAAAGTAATGTCAACGAAGATTGACTGATAAACTTGATTTTACTTTATGATTGATTCTAGCAGCGACGGTATAAACCTAAATCACGATTGCATACTGGACAACGATGATCAGCGTCTTTACAGGAATCGCAACAGAATGGTATAAGACAACAACCGAATATTCCACTAATGTTAGAAAGAAAATAAATAAATGAAATGTTTTTCCATTAGCATATTTATTTAAATATTATAAATCAATATATCAATCAAGTTTACTAACTAAATTCTAAGTTTACTATGTGAGTTGGCTATTTCAGGGTTTACTATTGATCATCCCAAGAGAATAAACTAAACGTTCTACTCATATTTAGTTCAGTTTAATTGGAACAACCTGCACTGTTAACAACACTCCGTTTTTAAGTGCCTGTGTGGTTTAGGGGAATAGATTATGTGATTTGGTAACTACTTTACTTATATGTTTACCCGCAATTAATTTTTAATGAGTAAATGCTAAAAAATTCTATGAAAAGAATATTCTAAATAAATAATAAGCAAGAATGTTGATGGAAGATATGTAGGTTATATAGCACTAGTTACGGTGAGTATTGAGAAAAATATCGCATCAGTTTGTTGTAAGCAAACTTGTTATAATTGGTCAATTTTATTTATTTACGAAAATCCATTCATATACTAATTGTTTATGCCTGGACAAGTCTTATGTGAATAATTAATTAATTAATATATTTAAGTAGAGCTAGATGGTGGATAGCAGTGAAATACAGGACGCACGTTTTATCCTACCTGGAACACGTCAGCTGGATGTACCTACATCCCACAGTTAATGTTCGCTCCGAAACTAGAACCCAGTATTGTTCGCTTCCAATGCCAGCGCGTTATTCAACTCACTACTGACTAGTGCAATGAAATGAATAAACTAATAATGTATTTTCACAGTAGCTTTGTTTAATTTATTACTGTGTCGGACTTAGTGAATGTCAACAGTGTTATATTGAGATCAAATATTGTTTACTGAATTCAGAACAACAAAAGTATTATTAGGTTTCAGTGTAACCAATGTTTTTTGGTACTAGATATTTGACAACTAGATTTAATATCGTGGCTAAGATCCGAATTCAAGTGAGTAGCGAAGTTAAACTGCACACAATATTTTACATACTACATATTTTTTTCATATTTAAATTCATTTTCAGTCGAATACCCTTAAATTACTCCTGTCGTATTAATGAATTTTATCAATGTACTATTCAATACCTTGTAATTCTAACAAGAAAGCACTTCCTTAGATTTATTATATTTATCTCGTATTTTTTGGGGGATTTTTTCTCTATAAATTCAAGTATAATGTTGATAGGTCGAGTGTTTTATTAATACTAAGAACATTTAAGTTCATTTGACGTTAATTACACAATAAAGTGTGTAAATAAACTGAGTACGTAAATAGGACAAATGCAATCTACTTTATTTATGTTTCAAATATGGTTTTATAGAGTATTATTGAGTTTTAATGTAATAAACCCAGCCGTTCTTGTTTCCTAGTGATATTTGTGTGTATCCGAAAGTTGTAGCGATCAAACACGTAGCTTGGTTTCACATATCTATCATTTATTTATGGTGAAAAGCCTGAATATAACTTGTAAGCATTTATATCCTTTAGGGTGTATATTTTTACTGTTAATGTGAGATTTTAATTCTCTAATGAAGTCAGAAATATCATTCATAATGCCTACTGAATAGTTAAATCAGTAGCCAGAACCATAGGAATAACATTCCATTCAAATTCACGAAATAATCTTAAAGGTCATTAACTACGATTAAAATAAGTTCTCGTCAACATTGCTATTTATAGCAGTAAAGAGATATCTTTAAAATTCTTAAGTTTGTGGAATAATCAGAATTGAGATTTATTATTGGAGTACTGTACTACTTGAAACCAGAAATCACTACAATCTTCACAATACTCATAAAAACCCATAAACAAGCCCATTTAAGCATTGATTCCACACAGGTTCGATTATTAGCTAACAGTTACCACAATATAGGGAAAATACACAAAATTACTGGATGTCGTGTTGAGCGAATTTCACATCAAATCCATGCGAAGAACACTAAACTGAATGAACGATATAGTGAAATCAAATAATTGTTGTAATGCAAAAACTACCACACTGAAAATAAACTTAAATTGTAACGAGTGGTCAACACCCTGAATTAAAACAAAGGTAACACTGTATAAAATTAAATCTTTCCTCCGTTCACTAAAATTACTAGTTTTATTAATTGATCATAATAAAAAGAAATAAAGTGACTAATATCGGAAGAAATTATTGTCATAGAGGGAGAAGATTTGTCACTCAGGTAGATAAGTTAAGTGTATTTCCATTCTTTAAGTTGGGTGGGCTTATTGTGAAGTTTGTATTGCCTTTCTGGTCAATGTTGTCAATAGAAATTTCTGATAGAAGTGAAATATTAATATGTCTCAACATATGACTGACAGCTTGTTCCATTGACCATGATTTTGAGTGGTTGTTGAAAACGCATTGTCTGAATCTATATTTTTAGTGTTTTCAACTGTGACTTAATTTCGGATCTTATGGTTGATGATAATTTTCCCGACTGATTAAGAAATTGGGTTGATTTCTTCATGTTTTCAATTGCTTATTGAACTGAATGCAATGCTTCCAAAAATGATCTAGTTTTCTTTGTATTCCTTCTGTCCAAGATTTCGGTTTTCCCCAAGTCAAATGTAAGCCCATAGTTATCTACGTGTATTGATATGAGCGAAAATATATCATCGAGTTAGGTAACTAGTAAGTGTTCAATCAGAGAAAAATAAAAAGAGTGACCAACTTGTTCGATGTGATGGTTTTTTTACAGTAGGTTATTGTTTTAGTAGTTGAGACTAATCTGTGTGAGTTGGTTCCTAACAGCGGTTTCACCAGTTTCTCTGAGATTAGGGTTAGTGGAAGGCAGATATTTGATTCCTTAATCATTATTAATGTCAAGTAGTCGTAATCGACAATGATCAAAATGAAGGTACTTAACATTTAGTTATTATTAATGATGACGAATGTGTCGTGTGTCTAACAAATTCATATTTTGGACTTGATTAAGTCATAACTGATATAATATTTCTGATAATATATAGAATATAAGGGTATATATGGCCTGGTGAGTATTTGTTTGAAAACAAATTTTTTATTTATATATGTTGTTTCACGCTTCTCAATGTTTAAAAAATGTTACCAGTCATGTTATTGAATCCAAAAATCTATTTTTCTTAAATGGCCAAGAACAACTGTGGGAAACCAATAATTAAGTGTACAGAGGTTCTATCAAATGAACTTTAGATCAAGAGAAGACTGTTTATATCCTGAGGGCTAAACACTAGTTGGAATCCAAAATCGTATTTTTAAATGATTTACTTAGATAATTTAAGTAAACTGATCAGTAAGATTGTTTATAAACCTAACTAAAAAAAGTGAAAACAATAATTAGAGCTATGTACAATTCGTAGTTAATAGAAACTCGTCACAAGACTTTATTATTGATTTTAACCTTAACAGATATTCATGTCAATACATTTAAGTAAAATAATTCTGAAATGTTTAGTAAAGTAAGTTGAAAACCCTAGTAATCTTTGAAAATTATGAATTTTTGGATGGTAAGAAAATTAACAAAATTAAGATGGTAAGTCAAGTATTAAGAGTATTTTCGACAGTTGAGATCATGAGTCAATTGCAGCTAGACCACCATGGAAAACCTGGAAGCACTGGATGGCGGTTTCTTCCTAGTATCGGATTCCTCATCAGTGCGCATCCATGACCTCGCCCCCCGCGGGATTCGAACCCAGGACCTATCGGTCTCGTGCCAGGCGCTTAATATTGATAAGCATGTTATTCATGTAAGCATATATTTATCCACTGATTAAAACCCTACACCAAATAAGGTCCATAGATTCTGTTATAACTTGTGGCTTTGAGTCCTGTAATGTATAACGTAATGATACTGCTAATTAGAGAACAGTGATTTATCGACTGGACCAATGACCCGTAAACCCCATAGGAGCAGTCTATAGTCTTTATCGGTCCTTCTTCCTTCCTTGCTCTGCTCGTTAAGTCCAGAACAACAATCTCAGCCTCCGCGATATGAATCATTTATTTCAAACATACTGGGTTTACACACAAACCAAACAGACCACATCCTACTATAAAATAGAAGATAACATTTGTACAAGATCTAGACGAAAGTGGTTGTGAATGTGGGAGATAGTAATTAATAGACTGGACATAACTCAAAAATGGTAAATCGTATAATAATAGTTTATAGGTCAAAATAAAGCTTATAATAAGAGGAACACGAATATGAATAGTTTAGTCACCTAACAATTATATAATGAAAATATATGTATAGTATGAGTCCAGAAATAGATTCCAACAATTACTATTCATTATTCTCATCGGGATATAACAGAATCATATTTACTGAACTGAATACCTATGTTATGGAATATTCAGTAAATCATATTACTTTTATTATTTGTATTACACTTATTTAAAGTTAAATCTGTTTAGCTTAAACTAACATGTACTTGAGAATTAATCAACTATTTTCATAAACTTTCATCCTATTAACATATTATTTTATCACTAAGCATAACCTAGAAATTATTAACTAAATAAGTATTCTTATTGTTAGTCAATATTACCGTAAATGAAATGAAACTTTCTACAATGACTTTCATTAAACTACATTATATGATTGTTTTCTTATTATAGAAATGTAATAATCATATGATATTATTGAATTAATATACTTTATGTGTTTTTTTCTTTTTTTGACTAGATTTAATTAAATGTTGAAAGTGCATTATTTGACATTGTGTTTTTTAATTCTTTATTAAATTGACATTTATACGCATGCAGTTGCTTGATTGACATTATTGTTTAAAATAATTTTAAAAAATTACCTGCTTTTTCAAAATTTTTATGTTTGACGCAAACTTTAAATATTTATTTAAATGGTAATTTTCACTACGAAAAAATTGATTTTAAACTTCATGAAAAAAAAACAAACGAAATAGATTAATGAAATATATTCACTTGGTATTGTTTGGCTTGTATCTTCCCATTGTGGCTTAAGACTGCGATTGATCGGTCTGTTAATGGCATATGTGCATACTGTGCGTATGCCTCGATATTGCCTTAATTCACAAGCTTTTTGTAGTAAGCGATGATGGATAATGGCTAGCAGTGGAATCCAGGACACGCGTTTCGTCCTATTTGGGAGTCGTCAGCTGGATGTACCTGCACCTCAGAGACTGAAAAATTGCAGTCTTAAACCTTGATGGGAAGATACAAGCCATAAAATACGAAGTGAATTTAAATTCACCCCATTGCACAAGCAAGTGGCTATCAGGACTCAGTAGCTTAATAGATAACGCGATGGCGTTTGAAGCGAATGGTATTGGGTTCGAGTCTCAGAGTGAACATCAACTCTGAGATGCAGATACATCGAACTGAAGAGTCCCAAATAGAACGAAATGCACGTCCTGGATTCTACTGTTAGTCACTATCCATCATTGCTTTCAAAATGAAATATATTCGTTTTTATTAAAGTTAAAATATAAAAGTCAATCAACATAATAATTATAATCAGACAGCGGTTTTTTGGAGATTGTAGTAATTTAATAATTAAATTCATGAGTGAATTGAAGCTAAATCATCATGAAAGATCTGGAAGCACTGGATGGCCGTTTCTTGCTATTGTGGAACTCCTTAGCAGTGCGCATCTACGATGGCGTCGCACAAGATTCGAACCTAAAACCTATTTCCCGGAGATCTAGTGAGACGCCATGACCAGTGGAGTTCAACCGGGTCTGTTGTGAGATAGTAACTTAATTAAGACAACGGTGGACAGTGGCGCAATTTCGTGGATTAGTTGAAGTTGGACATTAACACCGTTGGATGCCGGCTCAGTGGTCTACAGGTAAAGTGTTTGCGCGCGAGACTGATAGGTCCTGGGTTCGAATCTCGCTAGGCAGGATCGTGGATGTACACTGCTGAGTAGTTCCACAATAGGTTCCAGGTTTTCCATGGTGGTTTAGCTTCAATTGACTTATGAATTCAATTATTAAATAATGATTATAGTAAAATAAATTAGTGTATCAAAAATACCATTTAAGTTGACAGAAATTGTTTACAATTTAAATTGATTTTTAATAGGAACACTGAAGTGTTTTTTTGGAAACTAAATAGATGAATTAACTTCAACTTAATCATGTTCTTATTGTAGTTTAATTATGTGGTTACAAGTGTAAGTAAACCAGTTCATTTTGATGTAAAATAGCATTGGTCGAGGTAGCTTGATTATCTGTCATGTATGTCTAGATATAATGGAACTTGAAGTTGAATGCCAGTTTGAATTGTAAAAGCTTTATTGTTTTATATCTACAGGATCGTACAAATCTATAAACTATTTAATGGTTGATCGGAATAATGTAATGAAATTCTAATATAAACCAACTATTTGAGATGTTTCATCGTATAATCTTAAGTTTATTACAGTAGAATAGATTGATAAAGTTTAATCACCATGTGATAGAAAGTTTTTAACCGAATCCTTCATTAAATCATAAAAAAGTGACTGATCATAGAAATTTCAACCAACAAAAGTTGACTAGTTGCAAAATTATGTCAATATTCAAATAGTTAGATATTTAAATGAATGTATTTTCATATTTTTCCATGCAATAGTTTTGTGAAATGGACTCGTTGTCCTCAATGGTTACAATACTTCTGAAAATAAAAAAGATTGAGTTACGTATATTTCAGTAAAACTCTGTTTGTATTAACATTCTAGATAAACATAACTCTATAAATCTAATATAAGGAACATTTAACTTCCAATAAAACTAACAAAACTGATTAACTAAACCCTTATTTGTATACTCGACTTTTAGACACATATTTTTGTTAAGAACTTTGAAACTACTCACCTACCTACATTAACATGGATGATATAATGCTTTAATCTGTTCTACTTTTTTAAAACACTGAATTTAAGATAAAAATGTCATCGTCGCTTCTATCCATGTTTAATTCATATTTTTCAGATCCTTATAAGCAAACTCCATTAGTAGACTGTATTTATTATTATTACATTGTGTCCTTCTATGACATAAAAACGTATGTATTTTTTAATCATCTTATAGAAATTGAACTCATGAGTGTATCAAAATCGATTTAAACTCGTCGATATCAACTGTCACATTAAAAAACTCAGCTAACGTCTTTCTGGAATCAGACTGGTAATGAACTTTTTCTTATTAATGTTATCAAATATTTATTTTGAATCACATTAATTCTTCATTCTGATGCTAGTCAAAACGGAGTTATTTTTATTTATGCGCTGATAAGGTTTAAAGTGGTTGTATGTGTGTCTATTTGAAGACGGGTTTTGTCGAAAACTGATATTAACTAACAAACGTTGGATCAATGATTATTTGTATTAGTTTATAGCATCTCAGTGACGTCCAGAAAATACCACATATGGAATCATACTTGTAACCATTAGATTTCAATATAATTGTTTAGTTGATCATTATTTGGTGTTCCACACTTAGCATTTTACAGTATAGCGTACTTCACATTAAATGTTTTTAGTTGTTACCTATTAGGCCGGTGTTTCAAAACTAGAAGAAAAACTGTGATGTTTCTAGGTTGATTATTTTGTAAAGTATGATCATAAAGTAAACTGTTATATATAAAAATGTTTAAGTATAATAGTTTCATGGAAACTAGATAGATTAACCTCATATATTCTTGTAAATTTAGGTAATTTAAAATGGTATTAAACAAGCTGGAAACATTCAAAAAGCTATCTTTTAGTTTTGAAAATGAATTTTAATACAAAATTAAGAGATTAAATATGAAAGATTATTGTAAATAAATAAATAATATATTTTATTTGTAATATCCCAACGAGTAGAAAAATTGTATATTTTTTTCTGACGTTTCGTGACTTAGTGTAAGCCACTTCTTTTTTTATTCATTCTCTGAAGAAGTGGCTTACACTAAGTCACGAAACGTCAGAAAAAAATATATAATTTTCCTACTCGTTGGGATATTACAAATAAAATATATTATTTATTTATTTACAACAATTTATCAAATGCTCAATTTATTCGAAATTATCAAATCAAATCTTGGTAATGATACCTACAAACTCATTAATTACCAAATCAAATTATCCAAGTGTAAGAAAGATTAGTTCAGCGAAGAGTTTTTTTCGGCGAATTCATTGTACAACTTTGAAAATTAATTCCCCGAGAAGAGAACTCTTCGCTCAACTAATCTTTCCTAATTAATACAACACGTTATATATTTTTTTAAATCAATCTATTTCTCCATTTTGATGAATAATTAACTTTGATTGAGTATAAATTCATATAATTACATTTATACAGTTAATTTGCTATCTTTTTCTAGTTCGTTACAAGGAACCAAATATACTATCATTATGATGTTATGTTTATCTTGAAACAATGAAATGAACAATCACTAAGCTGAATGATTTAATATCCTGCCACAATAGAGAGAATGATTTAATTGAACTACAGCCTCAAAGAAATATAGAATTTTATCGATGAGTCTACTTTTATCATTCTGTAAATAATTTTAATTAGATGTTATCGATTCGACTATTATGACACTTGATATCAATGTATTAAGAGTGAACTACGGATATTTAATACGGAAGAGTCGAAATAATGATAATAATTGCGATTGAAAATGAACATATAGATTATAGTTATAAAGTTATGAACGATCTTGAGAATCGGAATGTCTGTACCTATTCAATGCTCAAGTTTTTGGTAAAAAAAATAAAAATGTGAGTATATCTAAACTACTACAGCCACTTTTCAGGATTATCGGTTGAGGACTCTAAGTATATATTAGGATTATCTAATGAATTGCAATACTTCTTTACAGAGCTCAATTTAACATTGATTAATTTAATGGATTGATACCGTTTTATGATTTCCCTGCTCATATGTTTTTATGCACTTAACACAATCATTAGTAATCATAATAACTGAAATTATTCTTACATTAAGTCTTAAGTACGGTCCTTAATTTGTACACTCGTTTCATATAGTGAATTTTCTAGTTTATATTAATTATTAAGAAGGAAATAATATTTGTTAACACAATATCAATACAAATAAAAATATTTAAAGAACATAAAGTTAGATGTTTATTTACTACTTATGTAATCTTATACACTTTAAAATCAATAGTTTCTAAAATTTTACTTACTGGATTTATAGTTAAACTATCTGAGACTAAGAGGAATGTTAAGTAAAAACTTAACACCTAAATTACGTTAGAATATATGAATGCTTGCTAATTTCAAGTTATTTGTGTGTGTTTGTGTGTGTTGTTTCATCAGTTGAATCAGAATAAATCAATTTGTCTAGTATATTTTTTTTATATATGAAGTATATAATTTAAAATAATGAAATTTCACAAATATGTAAAGGTGATTAATTGTAGTTTTAAGAGACATATAGTTACATTTAACTACCTTTGTTACTAACTAACTTACCGTTTATTACTAATCCAAAAACAAAAAGAATTAATTTTAACTGTTTGTTATGAATGCTTAATTGTATACTACTTTTGTATCACATTATACATTGAATTAAAATAAAAAAATAATTTAACTATTTACTTCAAATATCTTACATCATACAATTTAACTCTAGATCAACTTTTATAATGAATCAATCATTTTTAAAAGAAAAAGAAATATGAGCTACTTATAGAATGATTTGTTAGAAACAAAAAAAGAAAGTATATTATCAGTTGATTAAAGAAGCATGTATAAAATAAATCAAACGTTCTGACATATGATGAAATTAATTTTATTAGTTCTGAAAATCTATACAATAAACTACGTAAATATGTTTATGATATTCATTTATATAGTTTACAAGGGTAAATTATAAAGCTGATTTTAATGACGTTAAAACATGTAATGACTTAATAAATGTAATAGTTAAAAATTAAAATTAGATCGTATTACATTTTATTTTAGCCAATAAAGTATTTTTTCAATGGTTAAGATCATGAGTTAGTTGAAGCTAGACCACCATGGAAAACCTGAAAAATGAAGTATTAAAACTTAACAATTTTTCAGTAAAAATCAATATTTATGGAGTTACAAATATATTTAGCTTATAAATTTTCAATAGTAATACTATTCACAAGTGATAGTTTTAGTGTATTATAGAAGTGTGATATAAATGTCGAATAAATTTTTACAGAGGGATAAATCAGTCAGGTATGTTATTTAATTTTATAGAATGATATTATGTTACATATTCTCTTTGAGAATTAAACTATTAGATGAGAAATCAATTATCAGTATAGAGATAAATTGAATATAATACAAATTTCAGAATAATATTAATTATATAATTTTCATTTATAAATGGTATGATTCACTGTGAAATATGATAAAGAAATAATATTACTGATTCAGTTTAAAGTTCTATTATTTTATAAGGTAAGATTGATTCTGTATTGAAATTGTCATAATCATTTAGTTTTTAGATGATCTTTGGGTATCAGTTGCACAAATACAGAATAGGTTTAAATGCTGATTCAATTATTAGTTGTTGTTTCTTTTTGAATAATTATATAAACTCACTTATGCTAAATATGCAGTATGGGATTTCATTAGAACATATTCTATACAGCAAAACAACATTTTACTTTATATTAAAATAGATGGACCTGAAAAACAGACATTTGCATTGCATAGGATTGATTTTATTGATTTTTTCGGTTTGTGTGCTATGCATATCCCGAGGGTTTTCAGCAGTCTCGTTGCGGTTTCTGATATGCCTTTTATGTATGGTAGGGCGATCCTTTTGTTTATTTTTTTGCTTGTCTTGGGTTCTGATGCTGCGTGCGGCTGGTATTTTTTGATGAAGTTGATTGGGTAGTCGTTCTTTTGAAATACGTCTTTCGGGTATTTCTCTTCATTTTTTCATGATGCAAGTGTGCTGCACTGTGACCTCACCCTCTTAAACAAAGTGTGCACGCAGTTGATTTTGTGAGCTCTTGGGTTGTTTCTATTGTAGTTGAGAATTTGATCTGTATGGGTCGGTTTCCTATACACTTGATTTTTTAGTTTTCCTGTGTCGGTTCTAGTGATCAATATATTCGAGAATGATAGTTTGTTGTTTGACTCCCGTTACATTGTGAACTTGATGTCAACGAAGACGTTGTTGATCAGTTTGTAAGTGTTTTCCAGTCCATTCATTTTGACGATGACAAATGTGTCGTCTACATAGCGAATCCAAATTTTCGGCTTGATCACTGGTAATATCGAGGCTTCTAGTCTCTGCATCACTGCTTCTGCGATCAGTCCTGATATTGGTGAGCTCATTGGTGTCGAATGGGATTACACACATTTGCATACTTGAACTACTTGACATTACTAGTTTTTTATAAATTAAAAACATCTCATTCATTAGTACAGATGATAAGTTTGTAAATAAGAAGAGAAACATTTTCTAACTTAAACTTGATGATTTAATGTCCCTTTTAAAAATCTAGTATTTTTTCAAAGGTGATTAAACTCATTATGTCTTTTTTTAAACATTTTTGGGAAGGATATATGCACAGAACTATAAAAGTTGGGAGCGATTCAGTTATTCATATAGGAAGTGGATTATTGAATGTTAAAATGAAATTATTGGGAATATGAACTATTGAGAAAGGACTCAGTTGCTGCTTAATATGGTTCCTATTGTTACATATAAATATCCTAATTTGTATGTCATATGAAGGTTTCATTGTACATCATTGAAAAACTAACACTAACACCCAAGTGTTTTAGGATTTTAATGATTATCCAACTGGTTTGAGATCATAATAAAAACGATCCTCGAAATATACAAAAGCTCAATAAAAGTCACTCACCTAACCAAATATTAATTTTAATCAAACTTTTTATAATCAAAAAACTTTAACCAACTTCATGATCATTTATTTCAACAGTACTAGACATTAGATGAATGGAAGGTTTGATAAAACCATATGGTATATATATATATATATATATATATATATATATATATATATATATCTTATTTAATCATTATGAAATAGAGGTAGAATGGACGAGTAAAAGGAAGACATAATACTGTGAATTTCAGAAAAGATTAAAAATCAGTTTAACAAGTTAAAAAGACTGGATTTTTTGTTACGGTTATATTCCAATGGTTAATTGTTTAGTTCGGTTGTTTTTATGAACTACAGACGAATTAATTTTCACACTATTTTCTGGCATAACAGCTACCTAGATGAATTTGAGACCAGTAGATTTTTATCATCGGGATTATTAGGATTGTAAATGATTTGTGTTTGTTATATTGGAGAGCTAACTTTCGTCATACTATTTTCAAGATTTTTTATAATCTACGAAATCATATAATAATGACAATAATGTATTTCAAATAATTCCAGACATGTGTTTTCATCGTTATCTGGTCAGTGGTCTTGGGTCGGATATCAAATTGAATAGGTCGGTAAATTAAAGAGATTTCCGACAGTTTTAAATGTTCAGATGATAGGACTGTTCTATGTAGTTTGAATATAGAAATACGTGAAACGCAATACAAAGGTTATGAACTTTTGTGACTTTTATAAAGCTTTTTGTTTCTTATCACTGATTAGTCGAAGGGGACTTGTATGAGACTTAATTTTCAAAAAAAGTCTAATACTTTTATTTTAGTTGTACTAGCAACATTAAATTTTACTCTCAAAAGGGAAATATATGCTCTCAGTTCTCATCTGCTTAATACTTTTCCAGTTGAGTATAAACGTGACTGTGTTTCGGAATTCTGTAGTTAATTTTCCTGATAATTTTAAAATATGCGTGAAATATGATATGCATAAATGTATGTGTACAAGTATGGAAAGACTTACCCAACTAGAAAAATTCCAAAACATCCCGCCCATGTTAATATTCCTATTTTGTAGGTCACAAGAGTTGTAACATCTTTATGACAGTATGGACACACAGTATTTACTGGATCTGGTCCAGGAACAAAATTTGCATCGGTGATTATCGGACAAGGTTGCTCCACGACTACCGTATCTAAAACAGGTTTAAAATTTGTTCATTTTGAATAATGAATGGATAAATAAATAATTGATTATCATAAATATACAGTTTACTTTTTGATGATTTTTGTACAAGTGATATCTGAGAAAAGTGAACTCAGTATGCTTTGTTTTATTTAAAAGAAGAAATCTTTGGAGTAGCAATATTAAGTAAAATACTAGGGTCTGTAAAAAACAGAGATTAATGGTTAGAAACATTGATGTGTTCGGTAGAATATTTTGACTGAAAACAGTATATCAAAGTTGTTAATTTTGCTGTATTTTTTTAGTTAGTATGATAGACTTTCTACAATAGATCAAATCTACCAGTTCATCGGTGAACAAACATGATTTATTTTGGTAAAGTAGGATAACAGGCACTTAACTGAGGCATCGGTTTCAACATTTCTGTCAAAACTCTTATTCTTAACTTGAGGACGATGAACACATTTTTATTCACAAAGTAATTTATAGTCCAGTATAAAATCCTTAGTACAATAGTGTAGTGAAACCTGAAAACTGCTAATAATTTTTTATCTGATATAACAAGTGTTTATTTCAAGGTGCCGAAGTTATGTATGGGCAAAAAGGTTATATGTTGCAGAATTCTGAATTGTGAATTAATCCTATCGTTAATCGCATATTTGTACACAAAACTGCTGATTAGTACCGTATCTCGAATGTGATAAACCACAATAATTGTTGGATAGAACAGATATCTTAAAAAATTGTTGTCAGTAGTTATAACAAACAGGAAAATAATTTGAAAACAATAGTCACACTAAACTGACGTCAAATTCAAAAGCGTGGGAAAACAGTTACCAGTCTACTTTGCAAAGGAATAATGTTTTGAAACACGACTGAGAAAATCAGCTCTAATCAATCATTAATCAGGCTTTATCTGTGAAAAGTCAGCACAATATATCTCCCACAACTGCAGTCACTTGTATATATAGTCAAGCCTACAATTGTCTGGAGAATTTAGCATGGATTTGCAAAAATAAGCCAACGTCATTTTGATGTAACTCATCCTATATCTCTTGTTTCGCCTTACTGATAGCATATCAATATATAAAAGCTGAGCATTGTGTTAGTAATACAAGCTTGAATTGAGAACGAGACCAGTCGTTTCTTAACTTTCATTTATACATTGAATCAAATACATAAATATTGGTACGAGGGATACCATATATATACACACCACATTTCATCAGTTGATGTTTGTAAGGAATGGGATACTACCCAACTGCCTAGACCAAAGCACGCGGTTTTATTAGGGTTCTACTCACCGAGTCTTTGACTTGGACGTTTAATCTACAGGTCAATGGGGCAGCATTAGTAGACTCAGTCTCATGGTAGCCGGTGACCAACAATATGTTCATACGTCATTTGTTCCTTCAGGATCATGGAGCCTATGTACTACATTGGTTTATAATCAAGGTTTTCTAGCTCCCTTAGGCGTATCTTTCGTGTCCATCAATCTGAATAAAGAACTGGAACTTTGCATTTTATCCTCTCAATCTCGTAAACAACACCCCCATCTCAAGAAGGCAGTGATTAGGAATTTCTTGTCAGTGGCTGTATATGCGTGTTTATGTTAGAGAATTACGAGAGAGGGAGTGGACTCGCAACAACCTTATCCATACCAGGGTATTTTTAGGCGTTTTGTAAACTAGGTTAGGTAAACGCGATAATATTTGTCTATGAACAGAAGCATATCAAAACTCTAGAAACTAAACAAACGACACAATGAATATAAATAAAATTTAACTATTACTACGCTGTGTCATAAGCAGTCAACAAAAACTGTACAATGGTATGACGAAGCAACTAATTTTTCTTGTCTGTGATTAGTTAATAAAATTCGATACATATGTGCATAGACTTGAGTTCGAATACCAAATTGGCACAGCAAGTTTAAGTTATGATGGAGTATATCAGGGTAAGAAAAATAATAATATCAGTCTTATTACAAAAGAACAGGCATCAACAGTATTATTTGAGAAAAAATAATGAATTTAGTGGGTAAAATGTATGGGACGATTTTTGAAAATTCAGCATCTAAAAGAATACAAAGAATGCATGTTTTGTGCCACAACAATTGGCTCTAATTCATTTAACCCGGTGCTTTTAATTGTTGGTCACGATAATTCCAAAAACGGCAGGATGGTAATCTATATCAACAAACACGGTTTAGTCTGAACATCATCGAATTGGTAAAATAAAAGCACTATTTGGTTCAAGGATCATTAACTCTATTCAAACCTGCTCCTGAAATGACAAATTTTGAGTGTTGTGGTAAGGAAAGGTTGAGGGTAGGTAATCCATATCCTGACCGTTTCATTCAAAGAAGAGTCATCGCTTTGTTGATCAATTTTTCATCTTCACTTAGCGTTCTGCACCTGACATCGTTATTGTTCAACTAGCTGTTTTTTACACATGCAAAAAATAGGCCCAAGGTGTGTATGATGAAATATAAATGTTTTGCGTATGAAGTATTTACTATATGGTTCTCATAATATGCAAAGATATTCTATAGAGATGCATTAAAATACATTATTTTGTTCTCACCCGCGCTATTGTTTACAACACTGATAACCTACTAATATTCCGTATTCCCAAAAACCACCTTTCATAGACAGATCAGAAACTTTTGTACAAACTAATAATGCTTTGGTTATCAGACGGATATCTTGTTCATATCACAAGTGAAATAAATTGGTTAAAGCCAAATTCTTGATGTAGTACTGGAATTCAACCCAACACCTAATCACTGGGGTTGATGAGACTTCAATGGCAATTAAATTGAAAGACTCATTACATTATCCTTTATCATTAGTTTATACTTAACTAAGAAAATCCAACCTTACCGTTTTGCTTAATCAGAAACAAATTAAAGGAAGATTGATTGATACGTGATCGATAGAAAAAGCAGCTTAGTTTGGAAAACTTTTAAAGATATCTTTCAGGTCAATAAAGGCTTGAAAGACTGGGTAAAGGTAGTCTCAACTAACTCGTAACTTTGTCACGGTTTACGGACAACTTTTGGCGGCAGGCGTTTACGAACAAATTTGATTAAGAATTCTCTCAAAGTTCTTTGATATTGACTTAGAACATTTGATGCCATAATTTGCTCATGTTTGTTCGTGTTCTAGTATTTATATGTGCGTTTAACAGGTATACAAGGTGGAATGGTTATTACTTTTTGATGGATGGGTAAATGTTCAGGTAAATAAGAAATTAAACCTAAGTACGAAATTTGCCTGTTGTTCGAAAACCCACTCTTTCGTTCATAAATATCCAACCCTAGAGATAAAAATAAATCATTTTGAATCTGATTGCCAATTTACTGAGAAAACATTATAACCATTTAAAAATACTTATTCAACTAAAAGTTTCTTTTGTGTATTCATTATACTTTTCAGTTACCTCAAGAAAAGTAAAATAATAATAGTGGCATGGGCATAAGCAACTTAATTGTCTCTCATGCACTGTAAAAACTAGTACTAGGTGAATAAACATTATGATTCATTTTGAGAGCTTGCTGCATTTTATTTACTGATTAGTAATTCTGCGTTTCACGGTATTTACGAGACTAAAGACTGTAAACGAAGCTTTTAGAATGTGGATAAAAGATACTAACTTATGTTCTTAGTGTCAAGGTATTTTGTGTGGTTAATGTATTATTTCATGTTAAATTTTGTGTAGCTTTTAAGTATTTGTTGACAGACGTGCTCTAAATATTTGATATATCATATTATTAATCTTGATGATACATGCGAGGATGTGGCGATGTCAACACCATGATAAAATAATTATGATATTCAGAATGCAAACAAGATAGCGGACTATAGTGTTCTGAAGATATAAAATTGTTGAGCTTAGGCACAGATTGATGAACTTGGGATCACTAAAGTTATGATATAGATATAGAGAGTTGCATCAAAATAAACTAGTCGCGGATATGCTCTTTATACTTAGAAAAGTGCAATTATATCGTATTATAACTAAATTCAGTAAAGACTTCGTGATCTAAAAACGATTATGATAGACAACATTAAAATGTGAAAAAATGGCCATTCTTATTATATGGCCATGATTGATATGTTTTTTTAAATGAATGAAAAGTAAAACTACGATATCTTCATGAGCATCAGATTCTAAGTTGGCAGATTTGGCCAACATCCAGTTATGTCGCTTAATTTTTTAATTCTGAGAGGGAAATCTTAAGAGTTTGAATAACGAAAGATAATCACAAACTTCAAAATATATTTTCAGATAAGTATGTTTTACCAAATAATTATTTGGTTGAGATTCAACAAGGACACTTCAGTACATCCCATGGGTATCCCACAAATTATAGTCTAACCTTCGTTAAAACTTCGAAATATTTCCGAACTTAGCTTAGTACTGAATAGTTCAAACACAAACAATTGTTCTTACCAGGATTTTGAGGGGAATATGGTTTCGGAAAACCATCATGGTCTGAAGACTTCGGATATGGTGGGTCTTCTTTATCTTAATTAAGTTATATTCTGCTTGAAGTGTATCTTACCAGCATTCATTTTAAAAGACGATTAATGAAAGCAGTTCAACTGATATCCAACCGCGATAGCTGATACACTTTTTGAATTTTCAGAATACATGTGACCTTCTACTAAACGATTAAAAATGTGATGACCAATTATTTCAAGTGATTGTGTCAGGAATAGAGCTTTAGATCACTGTTTTTATGGTTTAGTAGCCAAATGTTAACAATATTTTAGAACATCAGCTTAAGTAAATAATGACAGATGGGTATAAATAGTGCTTTAACAGGTCAAAGTATTAATCAATAAATAATATTATTTCTTCTTTAAAAGAATGTTGTTGAGACATCATTAGAAGATAAAACGGTTCAAGATTTGATGATTGTGTGGAGGCACGCAAATTTCAAAGGCCAAATATGTATTTTAACTTATATTCAGTCACAACAGAATATCTTAAACATCAAGTTTTGATGTTTTTTGCTCCGAGTTGCGCAAGATCATTTACATGATTTTGTGACGTATGTATTAAAAAAAACTTGCTCCTCAAAAATCGCTTCCGAAATAAAGATGTTGGCTATCAAATTTCAAAGTTATAGGTCTTTGTTGATATTTGCAAAAAAATATATTATTTAATATCCATGATCGGTATGAAAAATCCGTGTCGACTGTGTTCATGATTCCACGCCACGATTTACACGTTAAGTAATTTTTGATGTAGCAGACGAGAATAGATTTATGTCACGACCTTTTTTTGTTTAAAATGCTTACACATCGATACTGTTGATACAAGTTAACAGCTTTTAATGTGTTTTGGTCCACTTTTCTGTGAATATTTGATAGGCGTGTCTAATAATGCAAGTCACGCACATCTGACGCCTTAGGTCAACTGTGAAGGATTCTCGTCGTAACTACTCGATCCTATAATTATTTTGTCAGATAGACCGTCTAGTGATATGTATGGTAGCTCATCAAGATTAACCAGTTTTAGGCTTTCAATACTTATTAAGTCCGTGTTTTGCTGTTTTTGTATCACAAAATTTTGATGTTTTCTTGTATAAACCTTCAGATGGAGGTTTAAGTGGTGATGCTATTTTTTCACACTTCATCCAGACGTGCGTGCAGGTTGTCAACTAGTAATAATCTGTTAAATTTTTTTAACTTTGGTCCAAAAGTTTGTCCGTGTAACTATCTAAGTACCAATATAACAAAAGGTATGGATCCTGCCCAGTGACAGTGATTTGTGTGGGATACCAGGTCAGTCTTTACCGATGGTCAAAATGATCAACCATCTTGTCAACTCGTAGATGTGTTATGCAACATATTCTGTCGGAGCCAGGAGTTTAGATAAGTTATTGAATAGCCCAAATCCGAATTGAGTTTCTCTAACAGTCGTTATTATAATAGGTGTGTAGTGAACGAGAACACCAATGGGGACGTTCGAATGTATTTGACAACAAATTACAGAACTAGTTATTAAAATCTAACAACCATATAGTGAATTGTTAATTTGCAAAATACCAATCCATCATATGAAACTGGACTGTTCCTGTTGCAAACATCAATCGATTTTCTGACATTTCATTGTTCATGAGTTTCCATACAAATTCCATTGTGTTCCTTCTCTTCCTTTCTTGATCTTCTCCCATCTTCTGCTGCCAGACACTACGTTTAAAACTCGCGTCATATACTACTTATATCAATATAAGTAGCGCGCACCACAGTTGTACGGAAAAATATCATCTAGTTTTGAAGTTATACTCTAGTGACTGTCTTGGCTGTGTTTTTGTTTGTCAGTGTGGCTATCGTAAAACTCGAGGATCTGTCTTTACACGTGAATAGATAATTAGAACCATAAGAGCACAGTAAAGGAGCTACCCACTCCATATGAACTTTGGAAATTCTGGTCCTGGCTATGTGAAACCTCCGGTGGTCAATTTGTACGACGCTTAACCTTTGATCATTGATATGCCAAACACTCTCTAACGTACTTGCGTACATCTCTTTGTAAATTTGGCCATACATATATGACACTGATTAAATTGATAGTACCTTAAACTCCAGGATGAGACGAAGTATGGTGGTATTTTGTAAGACGAATGCTCAAAACATTACCTTCATCGTGTCACTGTTCATCAAACTACATATAGTTAGTGATGATAGCTGTCCTAGTTTGAGATTAATGTTCTTCGTTGTAGAAAGGGCACGTAGCTCTCAATCATCTTTTAGGTTGTCTCTCATCGTCTCGAACGTCGCTATAGATTATCGCATAATTATCATTTCTAATGGAGATAATGCATCTGCCACCTGACGGCACATGCCGGATGGCACTGGTGAATTGTCGTAGATAGCTAAGGTGTCGGACTTCTCGAGGAGAATATTTGTCAGCCCTAGCTTTTAATGCATTGGTTAGTCGTTTATGATCCGTAGGAATTATGAATTTCCCGTTTTCCATTATGCGTTTGAAGTGCTTAACTCTTGTGTAGATTGTAGGAAGTTTTCGTCCTTAGGTACAATTTCTCTTCTCTGCTAGAGCGAGTCTTTTTGAGAAGAACGCGATAGGTTACCAGTCGTTACAAACAGTCAGTCGAAAATATCGCTTTCTCCCCTATACGAATTACTAACCATCCAAGCGAGTGGGGAATGTGAATTTGAATACGTCGACGTAGATGCATGAGTTAGTTTGTCCTTTAACTGTTCAACAATCTTAGCCTCAGAAGTCTGCATAAATTCTTTCGATTTTTCCTTTAAGGGAATCTGCCAGACGTTGAATTAAGGGTGTACAACTAGGTATCAGTCTACGTTAAAAGTCAACATTGCTCTCACGTATCGTTCAAGTGTTTTAAAATCCGGTCTGACAAGTAACAGATCATAAGTCATTGAAATGTTCGTGTTACGTTATTCAGGCCGTATGGTATGAGTACAAACTTGAACAGTGCAAGAAGTGTAGTAATGAGTGTCCTAAGAATTTCTTCAGCTGCCGGGATATTGTAGTACATCCTAATCAAGTCACTTAGTAAATATGTTCACACCCTGCAAATCGTTATAAAATCTTTGATATGAAATATTCAGTACCTAATTGGTAGCGTTTGACAGTTAAGAGATCTGTAGTCCCCACACGATCGGCAGCCAATTTCATTTTTCTTTGAAAATGCACGCATGGGTATGACCATTTACTATCAGATGGACGGATAAAACCCACCTGTAGCATGCAGTCAGATTCATCGCCCGCGATTTTAAGCTGATCTGGTTCTAGTCTCCTGGGCTTAGCGATACAGTTGAGTTTTAACTTATGACCATGTGATCTACCTTTCATTTACTTTTGGCAGACTATAGGTTCGGTTAGGTTAGATTTAGAAATTCTGTGAGTATATTCCGAAGTTTTTTAGTTGTCACTGGTGGAGTTTGTGTCAAATTTAGAAACATGACTTGATTTTCTTTGCTTTTTGTGTAACTCGAAGTTTCTTTTAGTGTCAAATGTCATATTTTAGTGTCAATTAAAGATTCATATCTCGCTAAAAGTCTTCTCTCGGTATTGTCAGATCTAAATAGACTACGGTGAACATGCAAGAAAATTGCCTACTAAACCTTGAAACTGGCGTCAACGTGTCCGTTAGAAACGTCTTATTTTTAGTTTTTTGGCATGGTTTTCCTATGCAGATCTGTTTTATCCTGATTATTGATAATAAGTGACATACTGGTATCCACTAACACGTTCAAGCGCAAATTTATGTCTGTAGCACAAAGCAAGCGACTGGTTAGGTAACCCTTCACAGGTGATCTGACGGGGGGATTTTCTTCCATATTTCTAAGAGTCTGTCAAGGCTAGGCATGTGATTAACTGCACCTGGTCGCTTTGGCACTAAACGTCCGGTGACACCAACAGAACTCTTCCGATTGTATGGACATTTGTGACCTGCTCTGTGATTTGAGTTTCGGTCGTTGTGATGACTTACTCCAGTTTTCTTGACCCATTTGCATTTGATCACAGCCTCTTTTGGAAGTTTATTACTCGTAACCAGTTTTGCTATGATTGGATCTTCTGATGATTCTCGTTTTTGTGTATGATGCATCGTACGTGGTCCAGTCGTGAGACCTCTTTCTACTATCCCATCTTCAATACGTGCCAAATGAGATAAAGAAGTGTTCGAATATTGAGTATCTAAATAGTGTCGGATGCAACATTAAATAGCTTATATTCATTTTTTAGGGCTACATCACAGACTGTGCTGTCGCTTACTAAGATTTGAAGGTGACGCGAAAGTTGTGATGGTGACCTATCACCTAAAGTTTCTACATGGAAAAGACTTCGGATTGCTTGAACATCTCACAAATATAGATGGTTTGTCATCTCTCATCTTGAAATGGTGTATGGTGGAATCAAAATTAAGTGGCGTAATTATCTGGTTACTGAAGAAGGGAGGATATAGTTGAGGGTTCACCAACTTCATAACAGTGGATACCTCTGGTTTCAACAACGGAAAACAATCAAAGTGATGGTGAATAGACCTTAGATTTGATTATGGAACAGAGCAGTTGGGGTGGGAGGTTATCGTTTTTTAACAGATAAAATTCCTCAACATTCATTACAAAATATTAGGAAATTTAATACCAATACGAAATATGGAAGTGAATGGATATTTGAGCTATTATGTTTTGATATTACTGAAATCCTTGCGAATAACTCTTAACCAATAAATCTTGATTGTTACTGAAAAATTGACTACATGTTTTCTAAATGAAAATTGTATGTAACTGTATCCCAATTATATTGCCTAATATACCTTCACCAAATACCTGAAGATCCAGCTAATCTCCTCTAATTCCGTTATCAGAAAATCATCATTTTCATATGGTGTGATAACAGACAGTCTAACTATTTAGTGTACCAATAAAGGACAAAATCTAGCTACTAGTGTATTTTAACTAAAGAACACTGATATTATGAATTAATATATAAAACTTTATTGAGCGAAAATTGTGTGCTTCATAATTCGCAGGGTATGTGTCGGTGGTGTAAGAGTTAACCATGTATTTATATGATAAATAGAATTAATGTACCAACTAGAAATTCCTGAAACAATGCAATTTAAGCTAGATAAAACTAGATGAGCACAGACCGACGTGTTGTAACTGGAATTCCTTATAGTGGAGAGATGTACCGGAAAACTTAATTTATCTTTTAACGGAGACGAGACAGCCATTCAATATTCCTCAGTTAATAATTATGATAACTAG